GTGACTGTCATGCGACTGTAATGGTGTGACTGTCACAGTGTGACTGTCATGTGACTGTAATGGTGTGACTGCCACAGTGTGACTGTCATGCGACTGTAATGGTGTGACTGTCACAGTGTGACTGTCATGTGACTGTAATGGTGTGACTGCCAAGTCTGACTGTCATGCGACTGTAATGGTGTGACTGTCACAGTGTGACTGTCATGTGACTGTAATGGTGTGACTGTCATGTGACTGTAATGGTGTGACTGTAATGGTGTGACTGCCAAGTCTGACTGTCATGCGACTGTAATGGTGTGACTGTCACAGTGTGACTGTCATGTGACTGTAATGGTGTAAGTGTCATGTGACTGTAATGGTGTGACTGTCACAGTGTGACTGTCATGTGACTGTAATGGTGTGACTGATACAGTGTGACTGTAATGGTGTGACTGTCATTATGTGACTGTAATGGTGTGACTGTCACAGTGGGACTGTCATGTGACTGTAATGGTGTGACTGATACAGTGTGACTGTCATTATGTGACTGTAATGGTGTGACTGATACAGTGTGACTGTAATGGTGTGACTGCCATGTGACTGTAATGGTGTGACTGTCATGTGACTGTAATGGTGTGACTGCCACAGTGTGACTGTCATGTGACTGTAATGGTGTGACTGCCACAGTGTGACTGCCACAGTGTGACTGTCATGGTGTGTCTGTCATGTGACTGTAATGGTGTGACTGTCATGTGACTGTAATGGTGTGACTGCCACAGTGTGACTGTCATGTGACTGTAATGGTGTGACTGCCACAGTGTGACTGTCATGTGACTGTAATGGTGTGACTGCCACAGTGTGACTGTCATGTGACTGTAATGGTGTGACTGCCACAGTGTGACTGTAATGGTGTGACTGCCACAGTGTGACTGTCATGTGACTGTAATGGTGTGACTGCCACAGTGTGACTGTCATGGTGTGTCTGTCATGTGACTGTAATGGTGTGACTGTCATGTGACTGTAATGGTGTGACTGACATGTGACTGTAATGGTGTGACTGTAATGGTGTGACTGTCATTATGTGACTACCATTGTGTGATGTCATGGATTACCTCCAGAAAATATTCCATTCTGCTTCGAGTCTGTTTCTGACTAGTTTTCAACTGGGACACTAAAGGACATATTTTGTTATTTTAAATGGCGCAAAAACGGAGCAATGATAGGGTGATATATTTTCCGTGAAGAAGGAACCTCGACTAACAAGCTAACCTAGTGACAACAAAAGAATAAAACTGGCAGTGGCCTATAAGGCCTGTTATTTTTTTTTACATCCAGAAAAATAAATTATGAAATGGATTTATTCTATTCAGCTCATATAATATGGAAACGGATCACTTTGCATTTATTTTCACAGTGGTATGAATGAAATGGTTAATTACTGGATGAAACAAACAAACAAAAGTAAAACTGCCAAATAAAATTACAAACTTTTAATGCTGAGATTGGTTTGCAACATAATGTAAAAGATATGAAACTATTCTAAACTTACAAAAGAAAGAGAAAAAAAAATTACTGTCCAGAAATGTTGTCTTGTGTGTAATAAATTAAACCTTTAGCAAAACTACAATTTCAATATAAAACAGGAAAGTTCTAGACATTAGTCAGACACCAAACTCACAAATTTCTGGGTCACTCCTGGCGGCTGGTCTTGGCGACAGCCAACGAATCTTACTGACATCCAGTATTAGCTTGAACTCGCCGCTGGTTGATTCTAAGCCCGGTTTGTATTGACCAATAACACGAGTCTCATTGGAGAACACTTGGTGGATGAGAAGGTCACCGTGGCGGTCACTGCCATAAAACTGGATCCATCCAGACACACCGCTGAAGCTCAGGTTACTTATAGCTGCCCTAAATGCCCTGAAACGTTTATGACAGATGCATAGGAATTATTTCTGTGTTGTGATCCAGTATGCTAGAGGATAATAATAATAACAATACAGACTAAAGGGGCATACAATACAAACTGGAACTAGTGTTGATTGGTGGGTGTGTTAGATGTTATCCAGTCAAAGCAAGAAGAAGAAGTAGAAGGAGAAGAGGAACAGCAGAGGCAACAGCAGAAAAAAAAAATAAAAAGAAGACTAATTAGAAAAGAAAGAGGAGGAACGACACATGCACAAATTTTACCCAAACAAAAAAATCTAACTTAACAAAAGCTTATAAAAAGAAGTAGAAAGATCAGTTGAGACATACATCATAAGAAAATACTGCATTAATTGCTGCATAAATAATTTTATTTATTGGATCAGAGCAAGCAGACTTACAATCTTACAAAATCAATCAAAGTCTCCCTACCTAGCCGTTGCTTCCGAGTTGATGGTTTCCAAAGCACCTTGGTTTTGTCGTAGCAAAGAATCTAAACCCTTAGCATACACCCAAACAGCATCATACACAAAACTGGCAAAGTTGCTCTCATCCACAAACTGAAAAATCACATCAGAAGACTGGAAGAATTGTACATGCTTCTGCATGCTTTTACATGTTTAATTGACATTCATACCATGAATTTTGATATACAAACAAAATATGCCTGGTTTTTTTAATACAACAGTAGTGTGAATGATGAGTGTTTGAAAAGGCTGAATGTAAGTAAGACAGGCCAGCGTGCCCAATTTGGAAATCAAGTTTGTTTGTTCATTTGTACATTCCTTCATTAAAGGTTAAAGATCAGAGTCGAAAGGATCGATTTCAATGCATCGGGTGTGATCCCATCTGGCTCAGTCTCTCTCTGCAGAACGGCATGCCTTAATGAGAGTTACATTCTGTAAAAGACTTGCTGACAAATGATGAACAAACAGATCCCCCACAAGGTAAACCCTTATTTGCTATATACACTTGTAGGAAAAAAGCTATTCCGGTAAACAAAACAGGGTTCTTTTCTCTTATATCACCTTAACTCTGAAACTCCAAGATTTCAGTATTATAGAAGAGTCTGGGTGGGTGCGAGGGGGCGAGGGGGGTAGGATACTGTTAGTTGGTGTTTATTTCACACCCTAACACCCCTATACTATTGGACACTTCTGGGAATTCCTCATGAAATCTTGGAGTACCCGAGATTGGGTGAAATAAAAAAATAAAAGAACCCAAAAGAGTCAAGTAGTGTGTGGTGCCTGTATTAACTGTACCTTAAATAAACAGGGCCATCCAAAGACCGGATGAGAAAGGATACCTAGGGTCAGCTCCCTCACCATGTAACAAATTATTTGTTACAGAGATGTACTGGAAAGGAAGCCATTCCGGTAAACAAACAAGTCAAGTGGTATGTGGTGCTGTATGTTGGCTGCAAATAAAAACATTCTGTGGAAGTATGTGGCAGACATGCACACTACATAGCTAAAAAAAAAAAAAAATCACTATAATAGGTTTACAGGAGGGAGTTGAATGGTCATAGACCACGAGGCAGACCAAGAAGACGATGGAGAGATAACGTCCAGACAGACCTGCAATCACTTGGTGTTACCAACTGGAAAGAGAAGGCCAACCAGAGAGATGAATGGAGGCATTTGATATCTGCAGCAATGAACCTCAAGGGCTCAGAATGCTGAAGAAAATAATAGGTTTTTAGAATGTTAGACTATGGCGCAGTCAACCAATCCCCCCTGATAGCAGAATAAATGACAACAAAGTGATTAAGACAAAGCATAACACTCACTGCAGCACCACATCGCCTGGCATACAGCTCCGTGTACTCCCTAATGGTGATCCCACCTGCCACAACAGTGTCTGGGGGTCCAGTAAATGCCTTCAGCAACACAAAGTGACCCTCGGCCGCATATTCAACCTGTGCCGTTGTACAAGGTACATTCTCTCGTTCAGAGTGGCTTTCCTGGAGGTTAGGTTCATTGTTGTAGTAATCAACATCATACCAGTCTTTGGGATACCACGAAGGCAGAAACCACACATATCCTTCATGTGCAGTCATTCTCTGAAACCAGATATATTCTTTTAAACAAAAATCAGACATGGTAAGATACTGAAGGAGTGGACAAGGATTCTTTACTTTTACTTAAAAGACCACTTTACTTACATTCAAGTATATCGGGCATATAGGGCTAGTCTTATATTTTATAGACCAATTGGCACTTGGTAGGTGAGATTGTCAACATCCCGCCGGCTAACGGTAGTTCCCGCCAGCTAACCCTTATATTTTCAGAGAAGAAGACACAAAATACATGGAAATAGTGGGCGTGATGAAGACATCCAGAGCTGCAAAATGTTTGCTAGAAAGGAAACCTGTTTCAAGCAGAATGACTGGAGCTTGGTTTAGTACTAAATGTATTAAAATGAGGATAAATCAATGTTATACCCAAACTAAAGATGCAAAATCTGAGGTTGACGATCTCTTTTATCACCAACTGCAGCAAGAAGTAAACAAATTTTTTTAAAAATTGCATAACATGATATACTAGAATTAATGGGAGATTTTAACGCAAAAATAGGTAGTGAAAATATGGGTGTTCAGAGAGTTATGGGAGAGGTAGGAGTTAACATAATGAAAGAACATGGAGAATGATTAACTGAATTCAACATGCAGTCAAATCTAATAATTGAAGGCACTATCTTTAAATATAAGGACATTCTCAAATGAAATTGTCATTTTGAACACAGGGAAAAAAAACAGGCTGCACAATTTATTGCCTGGCATATTTTGCTGTATCTTGTCAGGTGCATACTACAGCAACAATTGATTAAATAACCAAATGTTTCACTAGGCCAAACGTCGAGTGACTAGGAATCAAACAAATCAATTCAATATAAATAACAAATACACAGAAGAGCAGACTTGGGCAATGACCACACCTAAAGTGTGGAAAAATTAAAAACAGCTGGCAGAAAAAAAAAACAGACAGTCAAAAACACCCCACCACTCCCAAATAAAAGTTGTATCACTTGCCTGTTTAAATGCTTCACACATAACTTCTCTGGCCACATTACTAAACACGTCTGCAATTATCACTCTAACATTCTGTGACTTGAACTCTTTCAAAATCTGCATCGAAATACATCATCAAAATTACATTGCCAGATATGGAATAGTTTGAATTACATGTCAAAGCCTGCAACGATTTGTTCAGATTAAAATAAAAACACTGCAATGGGGTAGTGACCCGCATTATTAGGTATCTGAATTCTATTGTACTGCAGTAATGACCCACTTAATTAAATATCTGAATTCTATTGTACTTTAGTAATGACCAACTTAATTAAATATCTGAATTCTATTGTACTGCAGTAATGACCCACTTAATTAAATATCTGAATTCTATTGTACTTTAGTAATGACCAACTTAATTAAATATCTGAATTCTATTGTACTGCAGTAATGACCAACTTAATTAAATATCTGAATTCTATTGTACTTTAGTAATGACCAACTTAATTAAATATCTGAATTCTATTGTACTGCAGTAATGACCAACTTAATTAAATATCTGAATTCTATTGTACTGCAGTAATGACCAACTTAATTAAATATCTGAATTCTATTGTACTGCAGTAATGACCAACTTAATTAAATATCTGAATTCTATTGTACTGCAGTAATGACCAACTTAATTAAATATCTGAATTCTATTGTACTGCAGTAATGACCCACTTAATTAAATCTTAATTAAATATCTGAATTCTATCAAGAAAGGTGTAATCATTATTATCGTGTCAGTTCTGTTACTTTGAAGGATATAGATATCTTTTACTAAATTATTATTCTTCGCATTCACCGGCTGTTAACTCTGGCAGAAAGTTCTGGTTGTTCGTCAACTTCTAGACTTTGGTCTTGTTTTGCCATTTTACAGATCCGATTTATTAGTTCGCAGACTGCTGGTTGCTAGCCTCTCAGGCAGATGATGTATGACTCTGAAGGTATCACCCTTAATTAGTAGACTTTTACCACATGCCTATAAGGGAACAACAGGTTTATTCTTGTTCCCATCCACTATGGGGTCTTGGAACCGTTACATGGATTTTATGAAATGATGTTCGAATTTCTGCTTCTTTTCACCATGCTTCTTCTGTATTATATCCTCCAATGCAAGAAGAATAGAGTACAGGCCATGATACATTACATGCTAAACCCTTCTACAAAACTTTTGTAAGCTGACTAACAGTTAAATTATCAACAAAACCCTCTAGGTGAGTCAGGGCTATTCAACTAGTGGTTCACAGGTCGAATCCAGCCTGCAGAGACCTAGCAACTGGCTGATGAATCATTGTCGATTGTATTGTATTAATAATCTTCCTATGTTGGGGCTCAGGCTTCTGATCCTCGACAATCCCTGCTCTCAACAACTCAACTGAATAGCCCTGTCCTAGGTCACGGCCAATCTTCTTTTTATAGTCTATGTCACCTCATAGTCTATGTCACCTCATAGTCTATGTCATCTCATAGTCTATGCCACCTCATAGTCTATGTCACCTCATAGTCTATGTCACCTCATAGTCTATGTCACCTCATGGTTTATGTCACCTCATAGTCTATGTCACCTCATAGTCTATGTCACCTCATAGTCTATGCCACCTCATAGTCTATGCCACCTCATAGTCTATGTCACCTCATAGTCTATGTCACCTCATAGTTTATGTCACCTCATAGTTTATGTCACCTCATAGTTTATGTCACCTCATAGTCTATGCCACCTCATAGTCTATGTCACCTCATAGTCTATGCCACCTCATAGTCTATGTCACCTCATAGTTTATGTCACCTCATAGTCTATGTCACCTCATAGTTTATGTCACCTCATAGTCTATGTCACCTCATAGTTTATGTCACCTCATAGTCTATGCCACCTCATAGTCTATGTCACCTCATAGTTTATGTCACCTCATAGTTTATGTCACCTCATAGTTTATGTCACCTCATAGTTTATGTCACCTCATAGTCTATGCCACCTCATAGTCTATGCCACCTCATAGTCTATGTCACCTCATAGTCTATGTCACCTCATAGTTTATGTCACCTCATAGTCTTTGTCACCTCATAGTTTATGTCACCTCATAGTTTATGTCACCTCATAGTCTATGTCACCTCATAGTCTATGTCACCTCATAGTCTATGTCACCTCATAGTTTATGTCACCTCATAGTCTATGTCACCTCATAGTCTATGTCACCTCATAGTCTATGTCACCTCATAGTCTATGTCACCTCATAGTTTATGTCACCTCATAGTCTATGTCACATCATAGTCTATGTCACCTCATAGTCTATGTCACCTCATAGTTTATGTCACCTCATAGTCTATGTCACCTCATAGTTTATGTCACCTCATAGTCTATGTCACCTCATAGTCTATGTCACCTCATAGTCTATGCCACCTCACAGTCTATGTCACCTCATATCCACAACTTTCTGTTATGTTCATTAAATCAATTCTGACACAGATGATCTTCCATGTCATAATGAACTGTCCAGCATCTTCTCTCTCAGTCTCCCTCTGCCTTTTTTCCCCTCCAACATTCCCACCGTCATGATGTGCTCCAGTTTTCATCTTCTCATGACATGACTAAAGAATGTAAATTGTCTTTTTCTGATGTGAGCAATTCGTTCTCTTCATGAGTCAGTTTCTTTCAAGACACTTCATTAGTTTTTAATCTGTCCAGGGTATTCTCATTATGTGTCTATAAAACCACATTTCCGCCACTTTCAAACACTATTTCATTAATCGCCCAACTGTCCAAGATTTATTTCCATACACCAGGATAGGATTTATATATCTCTAGAGATCTTCTTTCTCATCTCGAATGACAAAGAGATTGTGTAGAATATTCTTCGTTTGTAAAACACTGCCTTTACTTGTAAAATAAAAAAAGTAAAAGTAAAGATATCTTTTTACGCCTTTAGGCGTATCGGGTATATGGGAAGATCAGCCATATTTTTACAGACCGTCGGCACTAGGGTGGTAATGTGGTCAGCATTACGCCGGCCATCTTTACTTCCCCAGGACATACACCCTGGTACCCATCAGGCTGAGTCGACCTGCGACACCCCATACCACGATAAAAATCCACACAGCCAGCAGTGGGTTTCGATCACGGTATGTTGGAATTACGAGTGGGACTCGCAACACCTAAGCCATGGACGCCACTTCTATGTGATCCTTTTTTACCGTTAACTGTAAAAACTGGACACTTAGAATACTCTGAAAAGCCTAATCAAACCACACACACACACACACAAAATACAAGAATGCTTTACTTGCGGAATATCCTGGGGTGCGGGTGTTGTTGAGAAACTTCCTTCTAACAATCAGTGAGATCCCATGAACTTGCAGCCTGTCCTGTAGGGTCAAGTGATATTCAGGAAGTTCCTGGCCACCTTCAGCCAGGGCTCCGACTAAACCCCATCCCATTTCTTGAAACAGCTCAGGATAAACATGCCTGGTTCGAATTAATGAATTATAAACTATATTTATAAACAAACAATCATTAATGACTCTTTGCAATCACCCAATCACTAACAGAAAGATGTTATAAGCCTATTATGATGTCTCAAGTTAATCAGCCAACAAATTTGTCTATAATGCAAAATTTATGAATCAATAATAGCAAAATGGTATCAACCAATTACAATGTTCAGTCAAACTATCAATCTTCTTCTTCACTTCCTCTTTCACCTCTTTTTTTGTTATGGAGATATAAAGTTCTGCTTCTTACTCTTCTGGCTATCGACCATGGACACAACATCCTGTTGTAGAGTTTCTCTGATGTTATCTCTCCATCTTGTTTTTCATCTACCTTGTGCTCTATGCTGTTTTTTTAATTTTGTTGTATGCACTGTATGGTGTGGTGTCACAAGGTATTCTCTCACAGTTGACAAACCAATTCATTTGCTGTCTTTATATGTAATTCAACATTTGGTATTCTTATGACCTAATTTCTAATCTTATCTCTTTTGGTCACTCCTGCAGCACTTCTAGACAATTCCTTTCTGTGGGTACTAATTTTCTTTCATGCTTTGTTGGTAGTGACCATGTCTGGCACTGATAGCATAGAGTGGGAATAAATATGCTTTCTATAAGATGTTTCGTTGTGTTGACTGGGATTGCCTTTTGCTGTAACAGGGTGGCTAGTTATCCCAGTGCTGACAAACAGTAACACATTTTAAAAAAATGTACAGACATAAACTGTTGAATCATGTTTTGACCTAGGGATGAATTCCAGAGAACTCCAGTCTCAGATGGATTGCCATGGCCTTTATGTTGACATTGTCTGGCTGGAGGATCAGCTGACCCAGTTTGTTAATGACATGGTGAAGTCAAGCCACCGGTGATTTTCTTCAGCTGGCATCTTATTTCTGTTGTTACCTAAAAAAAACACTCATTAATGCCCCCCCCCCCCCTTTTTTTTTCCAACCCTCACTCTGTCTAATTCTATTTTATTAACACTTACGTGTACAGCTGTACGGGAGGTATGGTCCTAAAGAAGTACGGGTATTTCTCTGTGTCTGACAGGTCTTGGGCCTCGGCCCCATAACTAATCATCATCATGTTGAAGTGCTTGGACAGGGCAGCAATTCTTTCCGCAGGGTCAGAGCATCCCGTACCTAGATTCCAGGCATGAAAAAGAGAAAAGTGATCACTACGCTTGACAACAAAAAAGTCTGCTGTGTCAAGTAGGTAAAAGGACCTGTTTTCCCCATGTGGGTTCCAGGGCCCCATTAAGGAAAAAGGGAGAAGGGAGGGGGGGGGGGGGGTGGTGGTGCTATTAATTTACAAAGGATATCTAGAAATTAGAAAGAACTTGGATGCAAAGGGCATTTTTTTGTTTTCAAATGACTGTTAAGAATCCCTTGGACTGTTACAGTAACTAATGAATACTAATTGAAAAAATAATAATTTATGCCGGTATTTACCTCTTTTGCGGTATGGGCATGGGGATCTTGGTCTCTGAGTCTGAGGATTTAAGGCTGCATGGCCAGTGCTGTCACCACGGACTTTGCAGGGAGAGATTTTATTTTTTCCCCCACCCCCCCCCCCCCCCCCCCCCCACCCAGAAAATAATTTCCAACCTTATTGAGGATTCGAACTCAATCTTCTACATAAGAATCATTCAGCTGCCGCTCCTCAATGCCAACAATGTATGTAATGTGGAACTGGTCCCCACCCCCGTATGTCAAGGAAAAGAACACACATTCACAACTATAAGCATATGATGTCAGTTCTGAGGGTTTTATAAAGCAATCAGTGATGAGGTCAACATACCACAACGTTTGCAGGTACCCATTTAACCCGGTCACCCCAGGAATGCTAAAATTGAGTGATAACCCTGTGGGAATTTCCCCAAAAATACTTGTTTTTAAAAAAAAAATAATAAAGGTCACAAATAAACTGTTGAAAAGTTTTTATATCTACATTTTTTCCAAAATATATAAGGATATGTAAAGGGAATGATCAATAAACACTGAACAGAGTAAAGCATTAAATAGAATACATGCCTCAGAGCCTACAAATCCACAGATATTGGGTGAAATTTGCCAAGCACTGACTTATCAACGAGTTTTATGGGACAATTTGATGGCTAAAAATCAACATGTATCTGGAGAAACATGCCAAGACACTGTGATCTTTATCAAAGAGGTTTATGGGACAATTTGATGGCTAAGAATCAACATGTATCTGGTGAAACATGCCAAGACACTGTGAACTCTATCAATGAGGCTTATGGAAATATTTGACGTCAACTTGGCTTTTTTTGGGTTACAAATCAAAAGAAAGAATACCATGAAAGTAGAAACAAAAGACATAAGAGGACGACCAAAAAGAACATAGACTGAAGGAGTCACTGATATCTTGAAACCAAAAAGAATATAGACTGAAGGAGTCACTAATATCTTGAGACTCTACAACATCACAGCATACAGGGCAACCGAGCATGCCCTAGCTCAGAAGCCGATCATCTATGAACTTGCACAAAGCAGAAAATGGACAAAAGAAAAAATAAACATGTATCAAAACTTTACCCAGGATTCCAGAAATGGGTGGAGCTCTTCGCTGTATGAGAGAGATGAAGTGGTTCATGGCTACATCGTATTCACACTGGGTGTCATACACGAGCAGCTCCAGCGTGTGATTGGGTAGCGTAGTCACATCCTGGTTCACTAGATCTAGGGCAAGCCTGGCACCTGCCAGAAGAAGCAATAGTTGTACAAGCATGGCCATATCACTTTGATGATTTATCCATCAGTTTATCCCCTCCAGTGGCTACCTAAAGGCTTATACCATCGTGAGATTTAAACATCTCAACCTGGATGAAAGACAACATAGCACATCCCACTGACCCCTTTCAACCTCCACTGAAGTTATATAATTAGAACACCTGTAGCGGCTACACCAGCCAGGTGTAACTTTCAGTCCTACACATGTAAGGGTGATTCCTACGATACCAAACAGAATAAGGCAGCAGTTCTCAACTTGCCGGTCGTGACCCTTTTTTTGGTCAAACGACCCTTTCACAAGGGTCACCTAAGACCATCGGAAAACACATATTTATTGAACTTATGTGGGAAAATAATTGTTCCTTTACCATACTTGCTGTACTTACCCAGTTTCCTGAAGCTGGATTGACTAAGAAACTGCCCAAAGCAAAATAATCATTCTACTTTTGGTGATTGAACTTTAGCAGATAAACACATCAACCGCTATAGCATCTTTACAAATCTTTCAGCAGGTAAACAGAGAATCAAATACAATTATTTCAGCAGCTGGGCAGAGAATCAAATACAAATCTTTCAGCAGTTTAACAGAGAATCAAATACAAATCTTTCAGCAGGTGAGCAGAGAATCAAATACAAATCTTTCGGCATTTAAACAGAGAATCAAATACAAACCTTTATGCATTTAAACAGGGAACCAAATACAAAACTTTCTGTAGTTAAATAGAGAATCAAATGCAAACCTTTCAACAGTTAAACAGAGAATCAAATACAAACCTTTTGACATTTAAACAGAAAACCAAATACAAACCTTTTGGCAGTTAAATTGAGAATCATATACAAACCTTTCAGCAGTTAAATAGAGAAACAAAAACAAATCTTTCGACAGTTGATCAGATAATCAAGCGCAATGAATGATATGGTAACTCATTTCTTACCTTCCACTAATCCAGGTTGTGACCAAGATTTCCCTGTGAGAGGAAACAACCCACCCAAGTATATTTTGGGTTTCTCCATCAAGCTGATTGGCAACCACTTCTCCCATCTGTGCTCATTCCCCTGCACCCATCGGCATGCGGTCAATGACAAGTCTGAGTGTTGTGAAGCATTGGCTATCAGTTGATCATATTCTTGATCTGAGAAACTCATTTTTGAGATAATGTGAAATGCTTCAGGCGCCCCAACTCTCAATGGTCCCCAGACAACTTTCGTCAGTTGGTTTACTGGAAAGTCACAATCCCTGGGCACCTGAAGATAAATGAGATGGCACTACAGTTAACATCCGGATGCAAAGTAACATCAGTAAAGTCACAACGGTGATTGACTGATGAATCAGGCATTCATACTTTTATCAGTCCCTGTAAAAAGAAATTATAGATGAATTTTGTAAAGAGAACTGGTTAATCTGGTGTGTCCAGTAAATTAAAAAAAAAATATTTTTTATGGGGTGTTTAGAGCATTAATTATGTGTTGCATTTAAAATTAAAAGCTTATTTTATAAAACGTTTTCAAAATTATTTTTTATCGTAGACCAATCGGCTCTCAATGGATGATGTCATCATCATCATATCTCTCCTTCCCAGAACTTGACCTGATGGTCTTGAAAGCCCTAGACTAGTAACACTACTAAGAGAAATCTTAAATGTATATTAAGTACAATCATATAAAAGGATTATTAAAAGGAGTATGCCATGTGCACATGTGAATTGGCACATGAGACAACAGATCATGTCTTCCAAGACTGTCCCAAATACAACATATCAAGGCAAAACTTTTGGCCAAGAGAAACATTGGTGCAAGTCAAACTTTACGAGTTGCTGAGTGAATTACAAAAGACAGTGAAGTTCATACTAGAGACACCATTGCAGATATAGATATTCTATTTTAAGCAAACGAAAGAAGACGAAGAAGAAAGGATTATGTTATGTAACAATCATCTACTGAATAATGTAACTAAAGAAAATTCAATCTGTTATGAATATCTACAAAAGGCTTATTCTATAATATCAACTTTCCGTCCTTTTCAGGATGAAATTTTTCGTTATTTGAAGCCCTACTCTGGCTCTTGCCAGGGGCCGCAATATAGCCTGGCCATAAATATGGCCTAAAGGCTGAACACGGTTTCTGGGACCTCTCTGCGGTGATCCTCTCATGGTGGCACTTTGTGTCATCGGGCGTATCTCTTGTGTGATGTCCTGGTGGGGTAGAAAGTCAGTCAAAAGGCTTACCTTGAGCGGATCGAGGGTCTTAAGTTCTGTTGACAGCTGAATGGCAGTAAGAAAAAGAAGATGAAGAATTCAGAAAAAAAAACAAAGTACTACCCAATTTAAGATCAAAGTAGAAAGTACTTACATCTTTATGTTCTGTGTGAGCTTCTGGAAAGTTTATCCTCGTAAAGTGACCGGAGGCTATCAGTGTGTGGGTGCCAGCTGAAGAAAATCACCGGCTGGTTTGAGTTCACCACGTCATTAACAAACTGGGTCAGCTGATCCTCCAGCCAGATAATGTCAACATAAAGGCCAAGACCCTCGATTTGAGACTGGAGTACTCCGGAATTCATCCCTAGGTCAAAACATGATTCAACAGTTTATGTCTGTACACTTTTAAAAAAAATTTGTTACTCTTTGTCAGTACTGGGACAGCGAGCCACCCTCTTACAGCAAAAGGCAATCCCAGTCAGCACAAAGAAACATCTCAAACAAAGCATATTCATTCCAGCACTATGCTATCAGTGCCAGACATGGTCACTCCCAACAAAGCATGAAAGAAAAATACCACCCACAGAAATAAATTTTCTGAGAAGGGCTGCTGAGTGACCAGATGAGATAAAATCAGAAAAGGTCAGCACAGAACCAAATTTTGAATTACATATAAAGACAGCAAATTAAATGGTTCGCCCACTTAGAGAGAATGCTTTCTAATTTGCATTAGTAAATACAGGGAAACGGTACATATTTTCTTCACAGTTTGTTTCTAACTTGCATTAGTAAATACAGGGAAACGGTACATATTTTCTTCACAGTTTGTTTCTAACTTGCACCAGTAAATGCAGGGAAACGGTACATATTTTCTTCACAGTTTGTTTCTAACTTGCACCAGTAAATGCAGGGAATCGGTACATATTTTCTTCACAGTTTGTTTCTAACTTGCACCAGTAAATGCAGGGAAACGGTACATATTTTCTTCACAGTTTGTTTCTAACTTGCACCAGTAAATGCAGGGAAACGGTACATATTTTCTTCACAGTTTGTTTCTAACTTGCACCAGTAAATGCAGGGAAACGGTACATATTTTCTTCACAGTTTGTTTCTAACTTGCACCAGTAAATGCAGGGAAAGTACATTTGTTTCTAACTTCACAGGGTTTGTTTCTAAGTTTTTCAACTTGCAGTAAATGCAGGGAAACGGTACATATTTTCTTCACAGTTTGTTTCTAACTTGCACCAGTAAATGCAGGGAAACGGTACATATTTTCTTCACAGTTTGTTTCTAACTTGCACCAGTAAATGCAGGGAAACGGTACATATTTTCTTCACAGTTTGTTTCTAACTTGCACCAGTAAATGCAGGGAAACGGTACATATTTTCTTCACAGTTTGTTTCTAACTTGCACCAGTAAATGCAGGGAAACGGTACATATTTTCTTCACAGTTTGTTTCTAACTTGCACCAGTAAATGCAGGGAAACGGTACATATTTTCTTCACAGTTTGTTTCTAACTTGCACCAGTAAATGCAGGGAAACGGTACATATTTTCTTCACAGTTTGTTTCTAACTTGCACCAGTAAATGCAGGGAAACGGTACATATTTTCTTCACAGTTTGTTTCTAACTTGCACCAGTAAATGCAGGGAAACGGTACATATTTTCTTCACAGTTTGTTTCTAACTTGCACCAGTAAATGCAGGGAAACGGTACATATTTTCTTCAGTTTGTTTCTAACTTGCACAGTAAATGCAGGGAAACGGTACATATTTTCTTCACAGTTTGTTTCTAACTTTGCACCAGTAAATGCAGGCAATATACATATTTTCTTCACAGTTTGTTTCTAACTTGCACCAGTAAATGCAGGGAAACGGTACATATTTTCTTCAGTTTGTTTCTAACTTGCACCAGTAAATGCAGGGAAACGGTACATATTTTCTTCACAGTTTGTTTAACTAACTTGCACCAGTAAATGCAGGGAAACGGTACATATTTTCTTCACAGTTTGTTTTCTAACTTGCAGGGAAACGGTACATATTTTCTTACAGTTTGTTTCTAAACTTGCATTAGTAAATACAGGGAAACGGTACATATTTTCTTCACAGTTTGTTTCTAACTTGCACCAGTAAATGCAGGGAAACGGTACATATTTTCTTCACAGTTTGTTTCTAACTTGCACCAGTAAATGCAGGGAAACGGTACATATTTTCTTCACAGTTTGTTTCTAACTTGCACCAGTAAATGACATGGAAGCGGTACATATTTCTTCAGTTTGTTTTCTAACTTGCACCAGTAAATGCAGGGAAACGGTACATATTTTCTTCACAGTGTTTCTAACTTGCACCAGTAAATGCAGGGAAACGGTACATATTTTCTTCAGTTTGTTTCTAACTTGCACCAGTAAATGCAGGGAAACGGTACATATTTTCTTCACAGTTTGTTTCTAACTTGCACCAGTAAATGCAGGGAAACGGTACATATTTTCTTCAGTTTGTTTCTAACTTGCACCAGTAAATGCAGGGAAACGGTACATATTTTCTTCACAGTTTGAAGTATTTGTCGGGAGCACTGGAAGCAAAACTGCTAGATGCACACCTGCCAACATCTGAAATCTGCACTGGGGAGATTTTGTTCTCTCTCCAAAACTGACCTTAACTCGTAGGTCGACCAAGCATAAATTAGGTGCCAGGTAAATGTCATGGGAAATAAAGATGGTCGGCGTGATGTTCACCATATCACCCACATCGAGTGCTGATTGGTTTATAAAAACAGAGGTCTAGCACAATATGCCTAATAAACTATTTTGTGTGTGTGTGTTAAAGCTTTTGCAAAGTTAACACTGACAATTTAATACTAAATACTCTGTGCGTGTGTGTGGGTTCTGAGGCCCTAATGTGGGGGTGGGTAAAGAAAAGAACCATTGCCTCCCCCAACAAGCATGTCATAAAAGACTAGTTAGGTTGTTTTCTTCTAAGACAGAGTGCATTCACCCGTGAGGTGAGGAACCAACAGTCTGCATATAAATAAGCCAGATCTGTAAAACCAATGTGTGTGGAAAACACAGGTTCTGGAACAAGACTATAGTCCAGAAAGGGGTGAACAACAAGAACTTTCAGATGGAGTTAACAGCAAAAGAATGCAAAGAAGAAGAATAAAAAAAGTACTTGTTCTGAAAGCCACATAACAGAAGTAACAGACAGAGACAGACTTACAGACACAAGGAGAAGAGAAAGGTTCACAATGGACAACTGTAGCAGGAGTGGACATCAAGCATCACCAGGTCTAAAATACAGGGACTCATGTGGATATGCTGTCCGAGGTGTGCAGGAGTACAGGGGAATGAACAAGCAGATTATCTGGCAATAGAAGGTGTTGGTTACAAGACCACTCATACTGGACGAAGGGGGCATTCTGAAGACCATATTGGAACACTGACGGAAACAAGATCCTACATGAAATAACAAGTGTAAGAGAGAATTTGAAATTTAAGTGTGGATCCTGCAAAAACATAATGAGAAGATGAGAAGAAGAAGAGCATGACATGTGTACAACCAGTGTTTCTGGAATAGTCAGCATATACACCTTAAAACATTTGTTGTGGGAGACTGAGCCCCTAAAATTATGTCCAGTATGCTATGATGTTGATTCTTAAATCAGTAATCAGAAGACTTTGTTTTTAGAGTAAACAAGGCATGCAGAGAGAGGGATCATGATGCAACATATGGTCTCTACAATACTGCCCAGGCTTTGCCTTCTTCTTCTTGTTCACCAGCTGTAAACTATTGCGGAGGAAAGTTCTGGGTGTTCATCCACTTCTGGACTTTAGTCTTGTTTCAGAACCTGAGTGTTGTGTGCACATTTATTTTACAGATCTGACTCATGTGTATGCAGACTGTTGATCCCTTGCCTCTCAGGCAGATGCACTCTGACTTCAAAGGAAGCTTTTATTCAGTAGATTCTTATGACATGCTTTTAATAGGCAGTGGGTCTATTCTTGTTTTCCCCTACAATGGGGCCCCAGAACACACAAAGGGACCCTGGCTTTGTGCTACAGAGAGGAGAAACTTCATCCTGGTCTCGGAAACAAATCGAGAGGCACCAGCTAAGAGTTATAAGTCCTTGTCAATTGGCATAGTTGAGGGTCCCACGAATTGCCTCTGACAGTAAGAGATATTCTGGAATAACATGGGGTGAGGGGTCTTGCTAGTCACACTCGCCACTGGCTGTGATTTCAATTCCTCGCTACGGCACAATTTAACACTATCATCTGGAAAGATAGAAGGGTACCAGCAAAAACAAAAACAATCAGGAGAAGAGAATTAGAGACAAGGATGAGAAAGAAGGGGAGGCCATGAAAGTAGCCACAAAAGATGGCAAGCAACAGATGGAGCTTGCTATGTGTTGGTTAAGGTTCCTCCCAACAGAAGATAAAAGGCAGAAGAAGACAAAGACAAAGAAAGAAGAAAATATTTAAAAGATGGAAACAAACAAATAACAAAAATATTGTTACCATAATAGGCAGCAAAGAGTGTTGCACAATTTCGTCTGAGGCCGCGGCTATTCTCCTGACATTTCGGGTTTTTGTAAGCTCTGTACTTGTAGTTTGTCTTGATCTCTTGCAGTTCTGGTCGCCCCCACCAGGAGAAGCGGCGGATAACTCTTGGAATCAGCAGAGCTCTCCAGTGATCTACCACAATCTGATTTTTTGACCAGAACTCTTCGACAATCAAAGTAGGAAGATACCAGCCCATCCTAGAATGTAAAACAACAGGACATCAAATAAAGTGAGTAGCTTTTAGTCTGCAATCATAAATGCTATAAGCAGACAATATGTACTTGCAGCGGAGATAAGGGTTTTGAGAAGAATGTAAAGAATATCATGAAATGAAAGGAAAACAAACAAGGTGGTCCTTCTTGAAACAGAGGAAAGTCATAAAGTCATTAGAAAATTAGGCAAAGATTTGTGTGTGTGTTGGGAGGAGGGGTGGGGGGGGGGGGGGGGGGGGGGGGGGTTATGAGAAGGAATGAGCTGAAGAATTTTGTAACAACTGGCAAAATTGATGGAAAGAGAGCAAGGGGAAGGCAAAGAGATAAATACCTGGATGGCTTATCCATTGGGAGTGATGGGTTGAGACATAGACCCAAACTGATCTGTGATTGTGTGGTGACTGTGAGATGGGGAAACATGACAGCCTATGCTTATTGGCAAGACGCTTGACACTACTGAAGTATGCAATTATTATCACTAACAGGCCACCTACGAATACAAATAATAAGATACCAAAAAAAGAGAAGATTGCCTGCATAAACTATATATATATATATATGCAAGAAACTATTTCTCATCATGCTGGTCACATGCCCTTTGTAGAATGTTCTCATCATAGATAACTCAACTCTTTCTGCCCCAAGTAACACACCGTGTGTGTTCAGCTGTTACCCTCATGCCTTCACAGATGGATGGTATGTTACTGGATGGTTTAAATTTTGACTAAGCACACGGAAGAAACCTGGCCGGATGTTGTAACATGTAGCATATCTCAACAGATGCATGGTATGTTACTGTGTGATTTAAATTTGGACTGAGCATACTACAGAAACCTAGCAGGATGTTGTATGTAGCACTGTAAATGCTCCCTTTTTGGAAGTCACAGACCCATGGATCACGAACACCACAGGCATTGTCAACACAATCCTCTGGTTCTAAAAGAGTTAAAAGACTCACTCCTGCCATCTGCCTTAACTCCCAAGGACTTTCCTGGTACACACTTTAGGCTGGGTTGACCTGGGAGATCTCAGTGAATTCATGCAGATTCAGACCCAAGACCTTTAGGCCAGCAGGTAAGCATCTATCTATGGCTACAATTTGTTGCAAGAGACAACAATGTTAAAAAAAAAATGCAGGCAAAGGAAAACTGGAGAGTGCCGTTAAAAATAATGGGGCTAAAATGAGGGGAGCTGCATGTAATAGCAAAAGATGGAATGACTTGGCTGTTTGAAAGCCTATGCTCTTTTGGGGGACTAGAAGCTGAAGAAGAGGCCACTATTGTCATTAAACAAATGAGGTAATTTAACTCATTTATTTAGGTTTAGGTTAAGACGATGGATCAACATCATGGCACAAGGTTAGTAACCCACAAGTGCTCCGTTCTACCTCTGACTCAAGCCTGAGTCTGAAAAATCTCAGCGCAGTGCACAGGCTCTGTAGCACCGGTGAGGATCCTGAAATACTTTTGGGTAGATTTTTAACTCTAAATGTTTGCCTGATCAGCGCTGTTAGGCTACTCTTTTTCTATTTCCAACTGCCAAGGGATATTTTACATTTCGCAACAATACACACGGGCGTCCGATCTTACTACAGAGAGTTCAAAAGTTAGTTGCGAATCCTTTACATGATGTTGCAGAACCAACCCCAGCATTTTTTAGCTGTTGTGGTTTTTCTAGGCAAATTTATGTCTAGTAGTTTGCCATTGCTTTCTGGATGGTGGGCTTCTCGATACCACTGTCCAAACCAATGCAAGGTGCAGGGCCCGCAGCTGGGATCAAACACGGCAAACCGGCATTACAAAGCTCATTCGCAACGCCTAAGCCACAGATGCAAACACCACCCAGAGACCAGAGGAAATTACTAGAAGCAAACGTGAAAAAAAATCCTAGCCTTTACCGGGGCTTGAACCCGGGACCTCGAGCACTCAAGGTGGATGCCATGCCTAGAGTTCACGAAGCCCCTTGCCTTGCCTCCCACCATCGAAAGTGACTAATTAGGGATGTTTCTTTCAAAGTTAGAATCTGTTTGAGAGGCGAGGAATCCGTGGAATCAACAGTCTGCATACAGATAAGCCACATCTGTAAAATGGATGTGCATGCAAAACTCAAGAGGAAAGTCCAGAACAACTAGAACTTTCTACTAGAGTTACAGCCAGGAAATGCTAAGAAGACAGAAGGAGACTTTAACTCCTTCTCTCATAGTGACATTATTCTAACGCTGACCCAAACATTTATTAGTTACCTCCCCTGAGGTCCTAGAGGTCCAGCATCTATCAGTTCTCCGGTGTCCAGCCAGGGTGCCTTGTTGAAGCCTGCCACCATCCACGTCTCCAGGTTGACCATTGTGTCAGGGACTGATGCCAGGTTGGGTTGAGGTGGTTGGCAGTTGCTACCAAAGAAACAACAGCGATAATCACACGCCACTGGTGAAAACAATTCAACTTGTAATATTTTTTAGGACACTTTGCAAAAGATATCTTTCTATTAAGCAGAGGAATCCACAGCTTGATTGCAGCCTCTTCCAATATGGATTATGGAGCTCTATTCTAGGGAAAATAAGTTGACCCCTACCCACTTTTTTTGCATGTTGCAAAAGACAACTAATTAAGGGTCTGGTGAATTGGATGTGCTAACTGCCTTTTTAAGAGTAAACACATAAGGAGAAGATCGCACCCTTCATCAGTCGCACCCTTCGTCAGTATATCATTACAGTGGATTCATAGTTATAAAAGGTAACCCCTTAGAAAACAGACAGAAGAGAAACCGAGACTAAAGATGGGAAGTGCAGGGGTGAGCTGCACATGGCAGCAAAGAACTGGGTGTGAGGCCTATGTTCCAAAAGCAAAATAAAAAGGAGAGAAGAAGATGTTATGACAAACGACGATCACGAATATATCTCTCATTGTTTTCTTCTGTCTCTCTTTTCATAAATCTTTTCAGCATCTAACAGTGTCACAATATAGCCAAAAACTTACGGCTGCTTCTTTCCCATATTTCAGATAAGCTGTCTTAATGTCCTAGTACAATCAAGCATTCGCAGAGATGAATGTACTATTCAAAAAATTAATTTACCACACATACACAAGTAATGTACTATTCACACACAAAAAATGTACCACACACAAATAATGCACTATTCACATATCACACACAGGCAATGTACTATTCACAAAATAAATGTATCTCACACAGGCAATGTACTATTCACAAAATAAATGTATTACACATAGGTAATGTACTATTCACAAAATAAATGTATCACACACAGGCAATGTACTATTCACAAAATAAATGTATCACACACAGGCAATGTACTATTCACAAAATAAATGTATTGCACACAGGCAATGTGCTATTCACAAAATAAATGTATCACACACAGGCAATGTACTATTCACAAAATAAATGTATCACACACAGGCAATGTACTATTCACAAAATAAATGTATCACACACACAGGCAATGTACTATTCACAAAATAAATGTATTGCACACAGGCAATGTACTATTCACAAAATAAATTTGTTGTGCACAAGCAAATTCACAAAATAAATAAATATACAACACACAAGCGATCAGCTGACAAAGAACTTACATGGAAGTGGTGTGCCCAGAAACTCTGTCTAACAAAGCAGTGATGTTCTGGTTGTCATAGATCTGGCAGTGCTGAATCTCAACCCCAGCATAACCACCTATATTCTGTCAGTATGATAAACAATAAATCATCTTTATCACCACCACCACAACCATCATCACTACCATCATCATGATGTAAAAGAAAAGGTCCTTTTCCCACGCCTCTAAGCGTATAGGGCATATAGGGCTAGACCTATATTTTTATAGACCAGTCGGCACAAGATGGGTGATGTGGTCAGCATCACGCCGATCATCATGATGAACAATCAGAAATTCTGATTTTCAGCCAGTGAGTGCTAAGAAGTGAGTGATAAGAAGAAAAGCACCACCACCATCAACATCATTTTCATCAACATCCTGCTCTCCATCATCATCATCACCCTGATTGCCATCATAATCATCATCAACCGTTGAGAGTTCTTCTAAATATCCTCCGTCTCTAGCTGTATTTATTAATTAATTTACTGATATTTTTCTACACAATGATTAAACACTGTCCAGCGATGATCTACATCTATAACCCTCGACTTCTGTTGGGAAAGACTGAGCATTCATGAATTACTTCCAAATTTAGTTTTATCAATTCTTCATGAAAATTCCTTTTCTTCCTCTGCGTTCACTGGCTGTAAACTCTGACGACAGAAAGTCCAAGCTGTTCATTCACTTCTGGATTTTGGTCCTGCTTAAGGAACGGAGTATTGTGCACACATCTGTTTTACAGATCTGACAAATCTGTGTGCAGACTGTTGGTTCCTTGACTTTCAGGAGATGCATTCCAACCTGTTTCTAGCATGTCAGCAGAGAGGTATGGTTGAAACCAATCTAAGTCCTAGTCCTGGTTTAGCACATCTACAAAGGCCTTCAACCAACTCATGTCAAGTTGTCCCATCCTCTATCATCTCCTACAGCTCATCCCACGTTCTCTACAAATAAGCCACCTTCATCTTCTGATTCCTTCTGTCCCTGCAAAAATCAATTAATGAATATTTGTAGTTCATGAGTAATTATTCTGACTTCCCTAATAAAGGCGACTAATAATACTGTTAGTGTTGTATAAGTAAGAAATTTGATTGTCTTAGTAGAGCTGCAGGAGTGTCCAGAAGAGATACATTCAAGAATGAGTTCATAAAAGAACAAGCAGGCACAGAACCAGTTGCAAATTACATTCAAAGATATCAAATCAAATAGTCGGCCAGCGGGGAGAGAATGCCTTGTGACACCATACTATACACTAAAAGAGGAGAAGGATGTAAAGCACAAGGTAGACCAAGGATAAGATGAGAAGATACAATTAGAGAAAACTCTACAACAGCACGATGAGAATATATGGCTGAGGCAGCCAGAAGAGCAAGAAGCAGAACCTTACATCTTCCTCGACACCTGAAGTGGTAAAAGAGGAAGTGAAGAAGAAGAAGAAAAGTAAGAAAAATAAGACTAATATTTTGGATATTTTATTAATATTAAGAACAGATACGCTACCTCCAGCAGGATCTTCAGGATTCTGTTAGTGATGCGATTGGAGATGCGACTGCTGTCCTCGATGATGATGGGCATGTCATGTCCATTGTAGTAGAAGTAGTGAGCTTGCTGGGGATACTGGCCTGTGAAGATTCACAATAAACAAGGTCTCTCAGAGATGTCCATACTTGAGAAAAATTAAAATTTTTTGTTAATGAAACCCATTTGTATTGATATAAAATGCTCTATATGACAGCAGCTTCGGGTGACGGAGCACATTGGGGAGGATACTAGCCTTAGTCTAGGAAGAGGAAATACAGCCTGAAAACTTTATCTTATGGCAGGGCAGGCCAGTCCTTAGCCTTGGCTGCAGCTGGTCTAGGAGGGAAGCTCCAATATGAGGACAGATAAAACACTGCTTTTCTGATCCGGCAGCTTCTGCAGCATGCTTTGTTAAAAACCTACTAGTGATATCTTTCCTTTAGAGTAAACAAGGACAGGCCAAGAGAGGGATGTATAGGCAACACATGGTCATTACAATACTGCCCAGGCTTTGTGATATGCAGAGGAGGAACTTCACTCACCATCACCATAGACTGTGAGTCTCACGCCTCCTCACAGCATAATATTGCACTTTCATCTGGAAAGACGTAACGATGCCAAAAACAAATAGGCCTAATATGATTGTTTTGAAAACAGTCTCATGTGTGTCTCCTTCACTGCTGAAGAACATGTATAAGCACAGCTGCAGTTTTGCTCGTAAAGGCGTTGGTGATATCTTTTTTTGTCCTATGTATGGAAACTGATAGGACACCCTCTATAAGTAAACCTGATGTAAGACCTCCAGAGTATCTAATGCATTTATCTAGAGGAGTGGTTCTCAACCTTTCTAATGCCTCGACCCTCATGTTGTGGCAACTCATAACTTTTATGTGTTTTCCTATTGTCTTTGGCGACCCTTGTGAAAGGGCCACGGCCCACAGGTTGAGAACCGCTGATCTAGAGGATGCCAATGACAAGAGAACACTGTATGCAACTGTTAGGAGGATACATATTGTGTTTCTTGATTTTACTCTTCTTCTTCTACATTCGAGCATAAAAGGGCAGTCGGCCTGCTGTGTAGTAGTTTACATTAGCTAGGCTGTGATATCAGCTCCTTTAGGCCCACCACATCCAATTTAAGCAGTCTTTAATGACATGCTTGTAAAGGAGCAGTTGGCAACCGTCAGTCCCTGGGAACTATAGAGCTCTGCTGCCAGTTTTGGGAACAGCGTCTGCTATGACATTGAGTCTTATGGGAGAGTGGCAGTACCTGCATACAGTCCACATAAAAATGTTGATGATCTATTATTTCAAGGCTGTTTTGGGGAACTGTTATGACTTAAGTCCTATATGAGACTGGCAGTCCCTGCTACATAGTCCATATAACAACGTTGATGATCTATCATTTAAAGGCTGTTTTGGGAAACTGTTATGACTGTACAGTCAGTCCTAAATGAGACTGGCAGTCCCTGCCACATAGTTCACATAAAAATGTTGATCTATCATTCTGAGGCGGGTTTTGGGGAACTGTTATGACTGTACAGTCCTATATGAGACTGGCAGTCCCTGCCACATAGTTCACATAAAAACGTAGACGATCTATCATTCTGAGGATGGTTTTCTTTCAGATGTCTCCTCTTTATAGCTCTTCCAAGTGTCTGTATCAATGTTCATATCTTTCAGGTCACCTTCACACACATCCTTATAGTGTAGCACTGACCTTCCTGCAGATCTTATCCCTGTTACTAGTTCACCATACAAGAGATCCTTTGGAATTTGACCATCCTCCATGTGGGACACACGTCCTAAGCAACGCAGGCATCTTTGCTTCAGTAAAAAGTACATCATTAGCATTCCTGCTCTTTTGAATACCATTCATTGGGGACGTTTTGCCATGATATACCAAGAATGTGTCTCATATAGCACATGCGGAAGGTATTCAATCTTTTTTTCCTTGAGTGGCATACAGAGTCCAGGTTTCACTGCAGTAAAGGAGCGGGCTCAGGACACAAGCTTCATCAACTTTAATGTTGATTCTATTCATAAGCTTTTTGTTTGACCACACTCCTGTGAGTTTGCAAAACATTGCAGAAGCCTTTCCTGCTTTTCTGTTTAATCTGCATCTAGGAAAGAGATTAACAGCTTGGATTTGCCTGCGAAGGTGGCATTTACACAAAATGAAACATATTTTATGCAACAGACACATGTATATACAATCACATGTACAGACACCAACATATACATTCAAAGTCAGAGGGTATCTGCCTGAGAGGCTAGGAACCAACAGTCCGGATAAAAATTAACGAGATCTGTAAAATGAATGTGTACACACAATTTAAGTTATGGAATACGACCAAAGTCCAGAAGTGGACGAACAACCAGAACTTTCCACCAGAGTTTACAGCCGGTGAATGCAAAGAGGAAGCATAAACATAAATATAAACTTCACTGCAATTACCAAGAGCGCTGATGCGGCACCTTTCGACACTATCTTTACCAAGCACCATAATCAGAGGTGACAGAAAGACCAGAACCACCAATGGCAGAAGTGGCCACATCTGACAAAGCTGAGACAGTCCTAAGTTGCATCCACTCTGGGTTCTCCTTCTCATTGTGATGATGACGCCCCCACAAACACTGGGGTAGACTGTGAGAGGGCCACATGCCAGCTTCCTGGACAAAGGTTCTCAGATTCCAAGGACCACTGGAAAAAAAAGCAGAGAAAAAAGGTTATGATTACAAATGGTGGTTACAGGTGAAATTATTTTGACTACACATGGTGGTTACAGGTAAAATTATTATGACTACACAATCTCTGTAGCCAGTGGTAACAGGGTAGACAAAACTATACAGAACTCTGTAGCCAGCTGTAACAGGGTAAACAAAACTATACAGAACTCTGTAGGCAGTGGTAACAGGGTAGACAAAACTATACAGAACTCTGTAGCCAGCTGTAACAGGGTAAACAAAATTATACAGAACTCTGTAGGCAGTGGTAACAGGATAGACAAAACTATACAGAACTCTGTAGCCAGTTGTAACAGGGTAGACTAAACTATACAGAACTCTATAGGCAGATGTAACAGGGTAGACAAAATTATACAGAACTCTGTATGCAGATGAAACGGTAGACTAAACTAAACATACCTCTGTAGACATCTGTAAAGGGGGGTTGATAATATACAAAATAACTGAGCTGTGACACCCGTTGAAAACAATAAACTAAACAGCAATTGATTAGAGTTACCATTTTTCCTAAAGAGAACGATATTATCTTTCCGGGGCTGAAACAAGAAAACACACAGAACTGAATGTGAACATCCAGACATCAGCTAATAATCTGCAGATGCTACAATCTGAAGAGAGTGGTGGTGGTAGGAGTGACTATCGGATATGGTCAACGTTCAAGACTCAGTGCAGCGGGCGAGATAGACAATCAGACCAATACTAGTACCATCGGTACTGGAACTCTGTGCTTGCTGCTGAAGACGGGGATGGAGCGTTACAGCAATAATGCAAATGACAAGTGGCTGTGTGTAAAAATCGGGAGGGGGTGGGGGGAGGGTTAAAGATGTTTTAATGGGGGTTTTTTTTGGGGGGGGGGGGATGGGGGACTGCGTTGTCTAGAGGCATGTTGTCAGGTCTCGAGTGCTAGAGGTTCCGAGTTTAATCTACGGTGAGGGCTGGGATTTTTTTACGTTGAAGTGGGCGTAATAATTCTTCCAGGTCTCTGGGTAGTGAAATCGGACGCCCGTGTGCAATGTTGAGCACGTAAAAAGTCCCCTGGTAGTTGGAAATCTGGGCAAAATCCGGGCAACATTTGGAGTTTTAAATCTACCCAAAGTATTTCAGGATCCTCGCTGGTGCTCCAGAGCCTGTGCACTGTGCTGAGTTTCTTCAGACTCAGACCTGAGTTCGAAGAAGAACGGAGCACTTATATAGGTTACCTGTGTGTCATGATGTTGATCGGTATTCAAATCTCAACGGGGTTTTTTAACTGACAAATTAAAAATCTGGTGCTTTTTGGTGGGTACCTTTTCAAAATAATTTAGTACTATTCCCACCCACCCCCCTCCCCAACCACACACACACAATTCGACAGCTCTGCTCCCACGTGACAGCCGCGCGTTCTTAATTAACTGTTCGGCCAGCAGCTCCCCTTATTTCATAACGCGATATTAGGCTCTCCTCCGAATATCAGTCCAAAATTATCTACGCAGAAAGTAAACCCTAACAGAGCCTCAGTCATATCTAAAATTCGCATTTCTTTTGCGTCTAATCAACCGCGTCAAAATTAGGATTAATTGCGCACGACAATTTTGTGAAACGCAACGGATTTTTTTACGACGATTAAACGGCGGCGTAACTAGGATTAACTACGGAGGAAAAATTAGTGAAAGGCAAGAGTACACCTGATAGGGCTATCCAACGACAGAGCCTCAGTTATATGTAAGTTGCGGACCACTTTTCGCCGACTATAGTGCCACCTCCGAGAGTATCCCCCGCGCCGCAGAAGGGGCTAAACTAGATGGCTGGGACTCACGAGTAGCAGCTACCGCTTCTCCTGCAGCTTCCTCCATTGTATTTGCTCGTGAGTCCTAGCCATCTAGTTTAGCCCCTTCCGCTACGCGCGGCGCGGGGGATACTCTCAGAGGTGGCACTATAGTCGCCGGGAAAAAAGACTTACAATTTACATGAGCTACTTCTTCCGCAAGTACCAGCGTGGTCGCATTCGCCGCCGTCACCGGGTGGTCGGGCTAGTGGAGCGCCATAGTGGCCGCTGTTGGTTTGAAGTTGTCCCGAGGCGAGATGCGCGTAAATTAGAACGCGTCATTGCTGATCACGTGTTGCCCGGAACGAGAATTGTGACTGGTGCTTGACGAGTCTACAGATACGTTGGGAAATTAACATGGCATTTACTGTATTTGGCGGAGTTGCAATGCCGGCACAGCGAGAAAGAACAGATATTCGGGCACTATTTGCAACTTCTGTGCCACAGTTTTCACATATAAACGATTTAATTATCGGTAAGTAGTAAACTTCGCTGTTTTCCTCATACTTTTCCTTGCTTATATTTTCCGAG